GTGTGCGTGCGTGTGTGTGTGTATCTAAGAAGGATCAGCAGCCCACCAGATATTTAATCTGTGTTTTGTTTCCCCCTGGTGGCAACTCATACAAGAGCACGTACTGGCATTGGTTTTCAAGGCATTGATGACTCCTGTTGTCCAACTGTCTGTTATTTGGATTTGTGAGAGGAGCCTAAATCTTCTTGAAGCATCGGAATGGTGGCAGAGGGTTTAACACTAAATTCTAGACCAGTTCCTTGTCCAGATCTCTGCCGTGGAGGGGTTTCGAGAAAGCTACAGATACTGCTGAGGCTACTGTGCCACTCTGTGCGTATAGTTCAGAAACCAGGCAGGTTTCAGCACAGAATCTGGGAGAAGGGATGTCTGAGCAGCTCCTCAGCACTGGGCCTGTGTTTGGCCTCCACAAAAATGCAGCTCATGAAGTCCCGAGCCTGGTCGGAGGTGTGCGAGGGCAGCAGTGGGTTGGTGGGCTGGGTGGCGATCTTGAATATTGCCGCCATGGCCTCATATTCAGCCCATGGAGGCTTTTCTGTCAGCATCTCCACCACCGTACATCCAAGGCTCCTGTTAAAGAAAGTGACAGAACAAGCTGAAACAAATACCACATATTATGTCTCAGCTGCTTGACACTAAAGCTTTAAAGGAATGTTTTAAGTGTAAACCTCCTCCACCTGCAAGGCAGGTACAAGCCCTTCTGGGAGCAGTACTCCCCCTCCAACCTGGGCTGAGAACCTGGAACATACCAACCTCTGTTACGACCTGTCTGACTGGCCTTCAGCCAATCACATCACTGGCCTGGTAGGTCAACACCCAATCAGATTGCATGAAGGAATGTGTGTGGAAGTGTTAGGAACTGGGTTACATACAGAAGGCTCCTCACTTTATTAAAATGTTTTCCCTCTGAGAGCACAGAGATTGTGTGTCTTTAAAAGTAACACATTGGTGTTTCCCTTTTTTACATTTACATGCCCTTTCCTGTATATATATATATATACAGTG